ACTTTTATTATGGTCATAATCTATTCAGTCTTCTCTAAACTTATTGAAATGCTTTTTAGAGTTTATTTTATTATCTTTCTCCAGATGTGTTTTACTTTCAAATTATGACTTCTAGATAGTCTTCAATTTGTAAGTGGCTTGAAAAATCTATATCTGAGAAATACACCTTTGCCTTAAAATAGTCACCATCTATAGACTAAATTAAACACAATATGCATAAAAGAATAAGCAACACGTAAAGCTTTTAATTCTGAAATGATGATCCTTAAAAATCAAAAGCAGAAATTCTACATTATAATTTTATTTCCCAAACATAAAATCATAAAGTCTTTAGAACTGTCTCAAAGATTTCAACACAAAGTTAAAAAAAATTTGAAAAACATATTAAGCCATGTCTGTACAATCATTTAACTTAAACTAAAAAGTGGGGCAACTGAAGCAAACACACCATTAGTTGTCAAACAGATCTCTCCAAGATAATACCTCAGTTGAAACCAACCTTTCTTTAAAAATCATCCTATTTAGTTGACATGAGGATGCACTGTCTGGTCAAAATTTAAATTACAGGGCCTTACAAATGTACCACTCTGGTATGGGATGTTGATGTACGGGGGGAGGCCATGCATGTGGGGTCATGAGGTATTTAAGAACTCTCTTACTTTCCACTCAATTTTGCTATTAACCTAAACCCGTTCTTAAAAAACAAAGTTTACTTTAAAAAAAAAAACAGACAAACAAATAATAGAACTGGTCAAAATACAATTCTAGAAACTTGGGTTGATAGCCAGCAACAATAAAACCATGGCCAGGGATTCGTATTCTGAAATGCATAGAAATGTTAAGTGTAACGTAATTTTAAAATTTCCATTATAATACTTTCTATTAAAATATAAATTGTAAATAATTCCTAACCTTAAGAAAAAAATGGGAGATCTATGAAGTGTTAGAAAATCCTAAAATACATTCTAGAATAGCTTTAAAATATTTTAAAATGTAAATAATTAAAACTTTTCAAAATTATGGCCGGGCGCGGTGGCTCAAGCCTGTAATCCCAGCACTGTGGGAGGCCGAGGCGGGTGGATCACGAGGTCAAGAGATCGAGACCATCCTGGTCAACATGGTGAAACCCCATCTCTACTAAAAATACAAAAAAAAAATTAGCTGGGCAAGGTGGCGCGTGCCTGTAATCCCAGCTACTCAGGAGGCTGAGGCAGGAGAATTGCCTGAACCCAGGAGGCGCAGGTTGCAGTGAGCCGAGATCGCGCCATTGCACTCCAGCCTGGGTAACAAGAGCGAAACTCCGTCTAAAAAAAAAAAAAAAAAAAAAAAAAAAAACAAAAAAAAAACTTTTCAAAATTAATTTTAAAAATACAGTAAGAGATTGGGTTGTAAAGATAATTGAAAGATTCTTTGGTTACCAATAACAAAAGAGAATAAATGTCCACTAATTGTTCTAATTTAATATATTTGTTGGCTGTGTAATAATTTTTGGTGATCAGATATACAAACACACCAGTACATTCACATGGCTTAATTATGTATATTCTTTCATGGTAAACGGAGATGGAGGGAAAAAAAAAAAAAAAAAAAGCAAAAAGTAAAGTTCTACTTGGCTGCTTCCATAAGAAAACCTCATTCACTCCTTTCTCTCTTCTACCCAGAAAAGATAGAAAGAGGAGAAATTAGAAGAAACACAATAATAAAGACAAATAAGTATAAGAAAAAAAAAGGCCAATTGCTTTCTTCTTTCCAAAAACTAGGAAAACAAAGAGGAAAGGGGAAAGAAAGAAAAAAATATATATATATACACAGACACACACACACATTTTTAAATATATATTTTTAAATATATTTTTATATTTATGTATATTTTATATTATGTATATTATTAAAATATACATATATATTATAATATATAAAATATACATCTATATATTATATATAAATACATGTTAATATATTTATATATACACATATATTTTAATATGTATATTTTTATATATGTTTTCACACAGTTTTGTTCTTGTTGCCCAGGCTGGAGTACAATGGTGTGATCTTGGCTCACTACAACCTCCCCCTCCTGGGTTCAAGCGATTCTCCTGCCTCAGCCTCCTGAGTAGCTGGGACTACAGGCGCCCGCCACCATGCCCGGCTTTTTGTATTTTAGTAGAGATGGGGTTTTGCCATGTTGGCCAGGCTGGGTCTCAAACTCCTGACCACAGGTGATCTGCCCACCTTGGCCTCCCAAAGTGCTGGGATTAAAGACGTGAGCCACCATACCCAGCCCAAAAAATAATATTTCTTATAGTTCATGGTTCTTGTCCCTTCTCCTTTCCCAACCCACATCACCACTGGCTTAGGGTGGGATATTCCTTGTTTGTACTGCATGATAGATACAGTTGAGGGTTTGGGAAGAAATTCTTCCTACTGCAAGAGTTGGTGTGGTGAGGGAACTGTAGGGATATGAGTGGGTGGAATGGGAAACACATTTAGAGTTCCACTAAATATAGAAACTCTAAATGCATTTCACATAGCTATAAACTGAACTTATTCTATAGTCCTATGTTTCAGAAACATTATGAGATAAAAAGGTTGTTGTGGCTCACCCTGGGACCTATAAGCCCTAAGAACATTGTTTCTAAAGAAATGTATAAACATACTTTGTTAAGATTTATATATAAATATTAAAAACGTAATTTATATATAAGCAAAATTAAATTTAAAAATCTATTTATAATTTGAGAATTGTCCCTATGTCTAAGAACTACAGCAAAGATATCTACTTTCCCCACAGGAAGCCAGTGCCTGTTAGAAAGCCCAGAACGATAATGTGTTCAAGTAGGAAGCAGGACCATGAGGCTGGAAAATAAAAACCTTTTAAATTCAGCCAAACATAGTAACTTTAAATACTGCTCTAGAAGGGAAAGCCAAGACTACCCTAAAAAGGGAAAATGCAACCTACCTGTAGAGGCAAATAAGAAGGGCCTTAGACAGGAGTATTTTAGAGCCCACTGGATAAAGGGAATTCACACTAAAGAAGAGTGATGAACAAAGCTAAGCTGTATTCTGCATCTATTCTATGCATGGGACTTGCTTTTTATAGTTGATTCTCTTCTATATTCTCATCTGTGACTTTATTGTTATAATAAGCAGGAGTTTCCCAAGTATTAGAATTGTGAAGGGGGACAGGTAATAAGAATGCTGCTTTAAGGAGGGTACAATCCTAAGACAGAGTGGTAACCCCTCAAGTGGCAGCCAAAATGGAATCTAGAATACCTAAGAATCTCCTAGATACAATACATTCAAGTAGTATTTTCTCTTGTTTTGTAATTTTTTCCTATAAAATATTTCTAGGAAATAGCTTCCATCTTATTGCAGGGCACAGATCTCCTTGTTTGCATGCATGACTGGACCTGCACACATACTCTCTCTCACACAAACATGCACAAGTACAAGGGAGCATCAATATTTCACATTTTTAACTGCAGGACCTACATTTCCCCCCATTAATTCCCAGTATGTCTACCTAAATAGCAAGAAGGAAAGTGGAAAAGAAATTAAAATTCATTCTTGTGCTTCCTGTAGCAGAGTTTGGGAGCAGTTACGGCCACAGTGATCACTATGATCTGCTTCATTGCCTCTGCCCGTTTTCACACATTAATGCCAAAACAGAAAAAACAATCTCAGGGTAAATCATATCTAATTAAATTACTTTCTACCTGTAATCTAGCCCCATTCAGTAGCATAATCTTCACTGAAGAAGCTGAAGTATGTTTAGACTGTATGCTTTAAATGGTAGCATAATTTGCCTTGCTATTGGCAAACATCACCACCACTTTTATGCCTTCCTATGGAACTTTCAAGAATTGTCACACTTTAAAAATAAAAAGACCAAAAATGATCACTAGGTAAGATGGATAATCATTATTCTTTTTTGACATACAATCCCCTAGATTCTCTGAGTGAAAACTATGGCAACTGTTCTCATCATCAACTTTCTAGTTTACCATAAATAGCTCCATTCTTCACCTTTCCCATTTTCTCTATAGAAACCACAACACAACCGGAACTAAATATACCAGAAGGAACTACTATTTTCATCTCAGTTTACAGAAAGAAGAAAACAGAGAATGGATTTTGTTTTATCTCTAACATACATGTTTGCTTGGGGTAAAGAAGTGGCTTTTTGCTTCCCACGATGTTTACCTTCTGAGGAAGGTGACAGTAATTCCCTTCTTAGACTGGTTGTTGACACTACAATAACTTCTAGATAGGAGGGAAGTTATAAAAAGAATGTGAAATTAAACAAAGATCACCAAAAAAAGAAATTAAATAAAGAATAATAAATTAAAAGAGAAGGGAGGGAAATGGGAAAGCATTGAAAAAGCCATAGTGAATGAAATTGACCTCCATTAAAATTTTAAAATACTAAAACGAAGCAGACAAAAAGGGATACACACACACACACACACACACACACACACACACACACACACACACAGAATCTTGAAAGAAAATTAACTTCAAGAAAATAAAAATAACTAGTGTTGCATCAATACTATGGCATTCTTTACCAAGAAGTCCAGACAAAATGTTTAAAGTTCCTGTTAGTTTTTCTACTTCATTATGTAAATTTACTTGCTTAAGAGGTAATTGAGAAATTAGAAACATTAAGTAAGGAACATTTGCAAATACTTTTGAATACAAACAAAAAATCTATGAATAATTTTAAAATGCATTTTCCTTATTCTCCTACTGAAAAACAACTTAAAAATGAATATAATTTTAAAATAAATTTTAATTCATATGTGTAACATAAGGGGCTTTATTTTTCTTATTGCCTGTTGCTCCTGGATAATAAATTAGGAGTTAAGGGCAACTCCACAGCTCTTTCTTCCAGACTACTATTTACTAAAGTTAGATGTTACAGCACCATAAGTACAGTGAAAAATGTAAGAGAATCAACAATGCTCTAACTTGAAGAGTTACATATTTCTTACCGTGTCTTTTCCACCTATGACCCCTTATTGACATGCTGGTTACTGCATTTCTTGATATTCTAGAGGAAGTTGGTGTGATTTCAACTTGAATACACCTTGTACCTTCCTTGTTAGATTTCATGGGACCATGAGGCAATGAAGCCTTTATTGCATTAGCAACCTAAGAAGAAAAAATATAGTTTGAGATCAACATTAGCAGATGTATTATCTTACCCTTAGATAAAACATGACACTAACTGTTAATGGGTTTGTACAAGGATGCTCTCCCCAAGTATTTTATAAGATCATCTATAAATCCTCTAAGATAAGAATAGGAGCTCAAAGGGAAATTCATGATTAAAAAATATGTAAATGATAAAGTCAAAAATTTCAAAACATTCAATTAGATTTCCAAAGGCCTAATGTTAATAAATGCAGCTAAAGTATATTAAGGAGAACAATTCTTGTAAGTTAAAAAAACTATCAGGTGTCTAGGAAATAAGTCTAATAAAAATTTTTATTTGTTACTTTTCTAAGGTACAAAACTTCCATGTATAACAAAAGCATAAATACACTGAGTATTAATGATATAATAATGAACTATGAATGGCTCTCTCTCAATTTATAGTTCTAAATTGAGAAATCTTAAATTATAAAATTTACATAAATAAGTCAGGCACCTACCAGCAATGGCTCTGGATATAATTCTAGCTGGGCTCTGTATATAATATCATCCAGTGCTTTTTGAGCTAGATCCCATTCTCCATTATAACTATAAAATTAGATGAATTAAATGAAGAAATTATAATTATTTATAACTGAACAAAATTCGATGAGAAACTATCTTTACTGAAGAAAATAAAAGATCCTATCAGCACATTGCTTAACATTCTATTCCTTTTAAAAATGTATTTTTAAATCCTTGAATTCCTTTCAGTTGCATCGAAATGCCTATTAATAGCGAAGAAAATTTTATAGATGTACATTTCTTCGCTAAAGAACATGATTAGTTATAGAACAGGAATAAAAAAAGTTAAGGCAATTTCAAAGCATTTTATACTTTCAAAGCAAATCAGAGAATAATAAATTATATACCTTAGAATAATGTTCAGAACATTTTATGGTCAAATTACTCTGTAACTCCCACAGTTTTTAATGAGAATCTACAAGTAATGTGGCTTGCAGTATACTGAATAGTTATTTCTTTGCATTTTGACAGTCACTTAGAAGTATATTTGCTACATGTTACAAAATAGCAGAGCAACATGAGGGAAAAAGCGTGTGTGCATGTGTGTGTATGCACGTCAGTGTGTGTGTATGCACATTAGTGTGTGTGTATGTGCATAATTTTCAAAGTTGTGCCAAACCCTTCCTAAAAATCAGCTAAATTACAAAAATGAACAGAGACATAATGGCTTGGTCAACTGCCAACAAAATAAAGAGGTATAAATTACATCAAGAGTGCAAATGAGGACTAAAAACTGCCAAGAACATTGCTCCCACCATAAAAACAAGATAAAGCCAAGTAATCTTCAAAATTATATATAAATTCTTATGAATCCATCAAAGAGCCAAGGTGGCAAGGGCATCCAAGTAGCCAGAACCCTAAGGGGAGACAGGTGCCTCTAAGGAGAGATGGGCCACAATACAAGTAGGTAAGAAACATTTAGCTAACTTTCTTAACAAACTCCTAAAAGCCAGAATGCGTACCTCATGGGCTAGCATGAGAATATAGAATCTCTAAAAGCACAACCAAGTGGGCGCTTGTATCCACCATAGGCTCTTCTCCATAAACCTTCTTTAGGCATTCACAAGAACAACTAGAAACAGGGCAGGTCAGAGAAAACTGCCCTTGATGGTATAGGCCTGAAGGAAAAGAGTGACCACTCCTGTAAGAAAAGTACAACCCCAGCCCTATGCCTTTATCATATGGAACAAAGGTTTTAAAGCCTTTGGAGAAAGAGCAGCAAACCCTCTCACCCCCAGGGCACAAGTGAAGATCAATTCGGCTCTGACGGCAAGAAAAAGAAAAAACAAAAGCAAAAAAACCTCTCATTCTATGCTGAGATCAGTAGAGGTGTCATCACTGAAGAAGGGGCAGGACCACTGAGAAACTCCCATCCCTGAGATCCAGGGACATGGGATCAGTCTAAAACTGAGGCTGGACCAGGACAACAGAGAACACTATCTCCCGCACTTCCCCCCAACCCGGACCACCACCAGGCTAGTGCACACCCAGAACCAATCAATAGCACTCTGCTACTGGAGGAGGGGGCGGGAACATGGAGAGAAATCTACCTGCAGTGAAGGCATATAAGGAAGGCAGAAAACTAAAGATGAAGCAGGAATACTAAAGAAAACCTTCTAGCAATCCAGCTCTCCACCTAAGTACCAGGTAGCACTAGAGGAATTTGAAGTAGATGGTGCCCTGAGGGTAACCGTTACAACAAACCCAATCCTAGCTCACGTCTGCTTACAATAACTCCACTAGCAGCCTAGAAGAGCCATGCCCATTTTCTGTCATAAATATTATTTACCTCCGTCTCTACTGTCCTACCTCTGAACACAATCATGAACACTCAAAAATTACAAGGCACATAAAAAGCAAAACAAACAAGACCAACCCTGTCAAGAGAAAAAGCAAGCAACAGAACTAAATTCATAGATGACCTAAATGTTGAAGTTAATTGGGAAATTAAAATAACTATGACTAATATACTAAAGGGTCTAGTGGAAAAGATGGACAACATACATGAACAGATGGAGATTTCTGCAGAGAGATGGGAACTACAAGAAAGAGTCTAATGAAATGGTTAGAAATAAAACACAGTAACAGAGATGAAGAATGTCTTCAGTGGTTTCATTTCTAGACTTAACCTAGTCAAGGAAAAAAATCAGTAAACATGAAGATACATCCAAGAGAAATTACTCAAACTGAAACACAAAGAAAAAGAATAAAGTAGATCAGAGCATCCAAGATCTGTGGGATATGTTAATGGTCTAACACAGGGTTAAGAAAATTTTTTCTTAAAGAGCCAGACAACAAGTATTTTAGGCTTGTGGGCCATACAGTCTCTACCACAACTATTCAATTCTGTCATTGCAACAGAAAAACAGTCATAGACTATACATAAACAAACAGACATGACTGTATTGCAAAAAACTTAACAAAAACAGGCATCAGGCCAGATTTGGCCCAGAGGCCATAAATTCTGCCTTCAGGAAGTTTATACTCTACTAGAGAAAATTATAAGTATTAAGTGAATATAATGCAAAGTACAATGAGATAGGTATAATAAGAGAATTATAAAGTAAAAGATAGGGCTCAAAGACAAATACCAGTACCTAAGACTGAACTTAGCACCAATATTAGAAATTAATAGAAAGCTAATATAAACTATTTCTAATCAAAGAGGCTCTGAAATGATTTTTAAGAGCTAAAGTTTCTGGCAATGGAAAAAAGATTTATTGAGGAAAAAAAACTATTTGGAAATTATAGCAAAAAAAAGTAATGAAGAAAGGGACTATGAATATATTTAAGTGTTACTAATTTTCATTTCATCCTTGAATTTAAGAAAGATGATAAAGTGTTTTAATTGGTTAAAAATTCTTCAGAACTTTAAAAGGTATGTTTTAAACTAAACATATCTTTTAGATAAAAAAAATTTTAGATATGTTTTAAAATATTAAAACTATTATCAAGATCTTCATATTCGTTCACAAAAAGTATGCAAATCACTTATATATTGACATTATAATACAGTGACAATAGATTAACAAACTATAATTTTCCAAAGAAATTAAAGGTTTGCTTTGTATATGGTAAGATACTTACAAGGCAAAATAAATCCCTGTTAACATTTGGACCATGAATCCTGAAGAAACTGGTATCCTACTACTTATACCTTTGTATTTTCTTACATGTTGTCGAGGATATCCACACACACAGATTCTAAAAAAAACAAATGTATTTGTAAAACTGGTAAAAATTTAGGTAACTTATTTTAACATCTATAAGCCAACAATGTACTAGGTACACTTTCATAACAAACCTAATATCTATAAAACAAAGAATCTTTCCAAACATAACATTTGTCTGTAACATATTCCTGAGTAAGTTATGCCGGAAAAAAAAAAGTATAAAGCTAGAGGTATGTTGATATCTACAGTAAGTGTACCAGATTCACTTACTAGTTAGTTCACTAATTTTGGTCAATTATCAATAATTTTTGGGAACTGCTAAACCTATTACATGAAACTTGGCACTGGCTGGGCCTAGGAGGTAGAGGTTGCAGTGAGCCAAGATCGCACCACTGCACTTCAGCCTGGGTGACAGAGTGAGACTCCATCTCAAAAAAAAAAAAAAAAAAAGAGAAAAGAAAACAAAGAAAGAAAGAAACTTAGCATTATTTGTCATAAATAGATGTGTGATATGATCCTCAATTCCTGACAAAGTTCTTGACACAAACTGCAGGTTCCAAAAAAATTCTATAAATTGGACTCAAACATCATACAATATACTATAATAAACTTCAGATAGATTACAATTGTTAATGTTTAAAAACCAAAAAGGGATTAAAACATAGGCAAATAGTTACATACTCTTTGCATGCTGCCTAAACATGACAACAAAGGTAGAACCCTAAAGAAAGATCAATAGATTTTACCTTTTTTTTTTTTCAAGAAACTACTATAAACAAAATGACATGTAAAGAAATATTTACTCTATGGCACATGTATACCTATGTAACAACCTGCAAGTTCAGCACATGTATCCCAGAACCTAAAGTAAAATAAAAAATTTAAAAAAGGACATGGAAACTAAAAAAAAAGAAAAGAAAAAGAAAGAAATATTTATTTATTATTAGTTTTTTTAGAGTCAAGGTCTTGCTCTGTTGCCTAGGCTGGAGTACAATGGCATGTTCATGACTCACTGCAGCCTTGAACTCCTGGGTGCCAGCAATCCTCCCATCTCAGCCTCCTGAATACAAGTGCACGTCACCACACCCAGCTGTTTTCTAAAAAAATTGTTTTTGAGGAGCACCACCAAATCCAAGATGGCGGCCAGCAGGAGGCTGATGAAGGAGCTTGAAGAAATCCGCAAATGTGGAATGAAAAACTTCCGTAACAACCAGGTTGATGAAGCTAATTTATTGACTTGGCAAGGGCTTATTGTTCCTGACAACCCTCCGTATGATAAGGGGGCCTTCAGAATCGAAATCAACTTTCCAGCAGAGTACCCATTCAAACCACCGAAGATCACATTTAAAACAAAGATCTATCACCCTAACATCGATGAAAAGGGACAGGTCTGTTTCCCAGTAATTAATGCTGAAAACTGGAAGCCAGCAACCAAAACCGACCAAGTAATCCAGTCCCTCATAGCACTGGTGAATGACCCCCAGCCCGAGCACCCACTTCGGGCTGACCTAGCTGAAGAATAAGGACCGTAAAAATTCTGTAAGAATGCTGAAGAGTTTACAAAGAAATATGGGGAAAAGTGACCTGTGGACTAAAATCTGCCATGACTGGTTCCAGCAGGCGTGAGCAGAGACCCCGTGCAGTGCATTCAGACACCCCGCAAAGCAGGACTCTGTGGAAATTGACACGTGCCACCGCCTGGCGTTCACTTGTGGCAGTTACTAACTTTCTACAGTTTTCTTAATCAAAAGTGGTCTAGGTAACCTGTAAAGAAAGGATTAAAAATTTAAGATGTTCTAGTTCTGCTCTCTTTGTTTTAAAAATCACTGCTTCAATCTACTTCAAAACAATGGTGTTTCTTTTCTTGTCCAATTTTATCCAAAATCTTCAAGTTACATTTAGCCCATAAGGTTTATAAAAAAAAGTAAAAAAAAAAAGTTGTGGTACCCTTTCTTCCCTACCCTTGCCACTCCCACTTTTTGGCAGTTTATTTTTCACTTACTTACTTCCCCAGACCCAGGCTCCACCTCCTCCACAAAGAAGAGACAGCCCTGGCGGTCCTGGTGGCTTTTTCTCACATGTGTAGGATTGCTGCCCAGTGTGGGAGCTGGTTTAAATTCTGATTCCAGTTTATAATATCCTTTTTAAAAATCTAAAAACAAGCAAACAGCTACGCCCCTCTTCAGTCCTCCTCCCCGGTTCTTGTGTGAAACTCCAGCTGATGTTACCACAGCAACATCAGTTAATTGGGCAAGCCCTAATGTCAGTGTGTGTGCCTGACCTCTGGTCTGGCCTGCACAGAGAAACCCTATAACCACAGGTCTGTGGTGGCCCTGAAAGGGGGGGCCTGCTAGTCAGGAGGATGCTGTGCACACTGTGTGTGATGGATCTCGCCAGAAGGGCTCCTGTGGTCCCAGGTTGGCACTCCTCTCTGCAGCCATTTTAGAAGATCTGCTGGTCCTTGCGGGCAAAGCTACAGCCAGAATATCCATTTGAAATTCCCAGCTCATCTGTCACTGAGCTCCATCTGAATGTGCCACGGAGCTTACTCTCCACTTCCTCTGTGCAGCGGCCACAGCCTTCCCTTGGCACACTATGACCCTTTGCAAGATTGGAATTGGGAGGACTCAGCTAGTTAAAGCACCAGACCGGGGTTGCCGGGGTCCCTTCCGGCCCCTTCCTCCAGAGCAGCTGGTCCAGCCCAGGAACAACATGGACTTCCCTCTCCCTTTGGACTCAAAGCCTTTGCAGAGTCAAGCTCCACTTGAAGCTCACTCAGTAATATCCTTTCAATGTGTTTTATATTGTTTTGACTGCCTTTTTTTGTAGAAATAAAAATGACCTTAGAATTTATCATCAGAAAAAAAAAATTGTTTTTGAGATGGGGTTCTTGCTATGTTGTCCAGGCTTGTCTTGAACTCCCAATCTCAAATGATCCTCCTACCTCAGCCTCCCAGTCACTGGGATTACAGGCATGAGGTATCACACTCAGTTCCAGAAATACTTAATAGTGAGGAATATTTAAGAAATACTAAAGTTAGGGAGTATTCACTATAATAAAAAGGAAACAAGAGTCCAACATAGGAGACCAATTATAGAAATCATTCAGAGAATACTTTAGAAATTAAACATAATATTTGAAAATCTATTTAAATGACAGGGAGAAAAACTGTACAAAACAGATACAGCATAATCCCATTTTGCAATAAACAAATAGATGTATAGTATGTATCACTGCAAAAAGAAGATTAAAAAGTCATAGTTATCTCTGATCTGTAGGATTATAAATCAATTTTCTTCTTCATATTTACATGTATTTTTTTAACTTCCTATGACGAACATGCACTTTTTTTTTTTTTTTTTTAAAGATGGGGTTTCACCTCGATGGCCAGGCTGGTCTTGAACTCCTGATCTCAGACGATCCACCCGCCTCAGCCTCCCAAAGTGCTAGGATTACAGGCATGAGCCACCGCACCCGGCATGTGCTGTTTTTTTGTTTGTTTTGTTTTTGTTTTTTGAGACAGAGTTTTCCTCTTGTTGCCCAGGATGGAGTGCAGTGGTACAATCTTGGTTGACTGCAACCTCTGCCTCCCAGGTTCAAGCAATTCTCCTGCCTCAGCTTCCCAGGTAACTGGGATTACAGGACCGTACCACCATGCCCAGTTGATTTTTTTGTATTTAGTAGAGATGGGGTTTCACCATGTTGGTCAGCATGCAGTTTTAAAAATAAACAGTAAGATTCTATTTTTAATAATAAATTTACTAGAAAATAGATGCTTTCACATAATATTCTATGCTTGATATAATATGAGCTTTACTTAATATAGTACTAGCCAACAGACTATAATTGTTTACTCACTCTTCCCCTATACTTCCTACCTAGAACTTAGTATTTCCTCTACTCAATGAATCTAAGCCTTTACTTTAAAATGTCCCAGGATGCCACAGACCATTTCAAAAATATTCCCCAAGAATGTCATTAATTCAGAGAAACTTTAAAAAATAAATATAAATGCATTTGATATTAGAGGATCCCAGAGCTTTTTAGAACCAAGAGTAATAAGTAAGCAGGGAAATAGAAAAATTAACTACAAGTGAAATAAAACAAACTCAGGTTTTGTTTGAATTTACAAAAATGTATGCCTAAACTAGAATAGAGACTCTTCTTATTCTTAATTACTAAAATAAAAAATTTTACTTTCTTATACCTTAAAATTTTATGACAGGGATGGTTGTAAATAATATGGTTGTAAATAGTAAAGAACCAATGGATAAAAGAAATTTTCAATTAATTCACTCTGTAAATACTTATTAAAGATTGATATCGTGTCAGACTCTAGAGACATAAATGATGAATGTAGCTCCCACAGGGACTCACAATCTAATCATGGAGACTGTGTAATAAGGAAATATTTTCAATGAACAAGTTCAAGAGATGGTAAAGGAGAGTGGCAAACTCAGATGGAAGAAGTGGAGGTTTCAGAGAAGACTTCTCAGAAAAGAGATTCATTTGAGTTGAATCTTGAAGAAAAATGATATTTTTCCAAGTGGAAAACACAGGAAAGTTCAAAGGCAGAGGTGGGATGAAACAGCATGACATGGAGGAGACTGGGGACATTTTAGCAGGATGGAGGGTTAGGACACTAGAAAATACTAGAGAAGCTCATCACATCATGGAGCCAAATCATGAGCATCTTATAACCTGCTAGGTTTTACCATGTAGACACTGGGAAGCAACTAAAGATTTTTTTGTTTTGTTTTAAGCAAGGGAGTACCAAAATCAGATTGGTTTTCTGATAACATCGCTCTGGCTATATTGGTGGAAGGGTAGGTTTGGAGTTGTATCTAGGAAGTATAAAGAGGGTGAGGCCAAAGAAATAAGAAGAGTGGGTAATTATTTCCACATTTAGTTTGAATAGCTTGCTACATCGTGGTGTCATTAACTAGTTAGAACAAATAAGAATACTGGAATATGCTGTTTCAAATATGTTGATTTTTAAGTATGTGGTATATTATCAATTTTGCCTACCATGACACCATCCCTGTCTTCACTTAAAAGAACTGCCATCCCTCTTTCCTTTAGGAACTAGTCTTTTGCTATACAGTCATTCTTAGAATAAAAATAAACTTTTGAGATTGTTAATATAGTCTGAGTTACAAACCATACAATAATTAGAAGACCCACTCCAATGAGTTTATTTATCCATGATAGACCAGAACCAAAACTAGAAAAGAAAGGTTAATTCTTATTATCAGATCTTTAGATCATCAGGCTAGCAAGTAGAAACTTGGCTGAAAAGGGGAAACAGGCCGGGCATGGTGACTCACCCTTGTGGTCCCAGCACTTTGGGAGGCTGAGGCAGGCAGATTGCCTGAGCTCAAAAGTTTGAGACCCACCTGGGCAACATGGCGAACCCCTGTCTCCACTAAAAATACAAACAATTAGCTGGGCATGGTGGCATGTGCCTGTAGTCCCAGCTACTCAGGAGGCTGAGGCACAAGAACTGCTTGAGCCTGGGAAGCGAAGGTTACAATGAGCAGAGATCATGCTGTTGTACTCCAGCCTGCGCAACAGAGCAAGACCCCATCTCAAAAAAAAAAGGGTGGGGACAGAGAGAAGTGGAGACGAAAAGTCCAGGAGAATAGAAAAAGGGGAAGGGAGAAAAGAGAAAGAGGAAGAATTGCCTGAATAGTAGTGAGCACTTTTCTGTCCTGCTTGTTCTGCTCTTTGAAATTAAGAGCTTAATAAAGGCTGCATCTCCTGTATGTTTCTCAAGTGAAGATCACACACAAAAATCGTGCTCACATAGTTGGAGGAAAGATTATTTTAACTGGGTTGTGAAGGATGGACAATATTTAGATATTGGGAAAAAGAAGCTTCCAAATAAAATGACAAGCAATTGAAAAATGTGTCATAGGTTCTTTCAATCAGAGATGACATAATATCAGATATGTTCTAGAATTGTTGGTACAGTCATAGCAAACAGGTGAGAAAAAAAAGAAAGCAATGCCTTATGTGCATCCATAGTGAATGTGTGTACCCATTAACGGGGTGCAATAATATGCCAGCTGTCATTTACTAAATGACAACAAAGTGGCTGATGCTGCATTAAGTGCTTTATAAGTATACAAATTTTATTAGTCAGGAGCAAGATGGCTTACTCATAACAAAGCTGCCCTTAAATGACAGAAAACAAGCCATTCAGGAGGTCAGAAGAATTGACCTAGAAGTGAGGAGAGGGGCAGGGATTCATCACAGGTACACAAACAAATACACTGATCAGGAACTCATAGCTATCCATATCCAAGTTCGTCAGTTATACGACTCACTAGCTAAACAAAATCAGAGCTATCCCTTAGACAATGGGAGAGAATTCAACTTAATAGCTGAGCATAGTTCATTCTTAATATTTATATTCCACATCAAAAAAGAAGATAAGCCATTTGTTAAACAGCTTTGTATTAAGAGAGATTCCAACAGAAAGAAATATTTTCCTCAGACTTGGAGGACTCTGCACTCCAGCCTGGGCAACAGAGTGAGACACCATCTCAAAAAAAAAAAAAAAAAAAAAAGTGGGGGTGGGGGAGGCAGACATAAGTGGAGACAAAAAGTCCAGAATAGAAAAAGGGGAAGGAAGAAAAGAGAAAGCGCAAGAATTGCCTGAATAGTATTGTCCTGCTTCTTCTGTTCTTTGAAATTAAGAGCTTAATAAAGACTGCATCTCCTGTCGAGTTTCTCAAGAGAAGATCACACACAAATCTTGTGCTCACATAGTTGGAGCAAAGATTATTTTATTTTATTTATTTTTATTTTTTTAAATTAATTAATTAATTAATTAATTTTTTTGAGATGGAGTTTCGCTCTTGTTACCCAGGCTGGAGTGCAATGGCGCGATCTTGGCTCACCGCAACCTCCACCTCCTGGGTTCAGGCAATTCTCCTGCCCCAGCCTCCTGAGTAGCTGGGATTATAGGCATGCGCCACCATGCCCAGCTAATTTTTTGTATTTTTTAGTAGAGACGGGATTTCACCATGTTGACCAGGATGGTCTCGATCTCTTGACCTCGTGATCCACCGGCCTCGGCCTCCCAGAGTGCTGGGATTACAGTCTTGAGCCACTGCGCCCGGCCCCCATTTTTAATTTATAAATTATTTTCCTTCCCTTCCACCCTCTCACCTTTTGGATATTAAAATAGTCTCCCTTTTGTTAAATAATGTTGATGGTAGATATTTATAATACAATGACTTGGCAAAAAAAAAAAGCTGGCAACACTTATGTAAATAACCCAGCTGTTCCACCTTTTTTGAGATGTTACAGATCTGTGAAATTCAAAAGTCTGGACATTTCTGTCTTTAAACAATTTAAAGCAAAACACGTCTTAGAAAGACTTAGTAAGTGGGAGAGATGGCCCACTGGTATCATCTTTTAAGATTAGGAAATGTAATTATGCTCTAATTTGGAAATCATCTGAAAGACTTCACTTCTTTATCTTCTCTATCAAGCCCTTTGTCTTGTTAATGCTCTTCCTCTGCGGGTTCTGCATGGCTTTCTATCCTACTCAGCATCAAGTTCTGATTTTTTATTTGTTTTGTTTTCATTTGATTTCTAAGTATTGTTCAATGATCCCTCCCCCTGTGATATGGTTTGGCTGTGTCCCCACTCAGATCTATTCTTGAATTGTAGCTCCCATAAGCCCCACGTTGTGGGAGGGACCCAGTGAGAGGTAATTGAATCATGGGGTCAGGTTTTCCCATGTTGTTCTCCTGAGAGATAAGTCTCATGAGAGCTGACAGCTTTATGAAGGGGATTCCCCTGCATATGCTCTCTTGCCTGCTGCCATGTAAGACATGCTTCTCCTTTACTTTCCAACACGATTGTGAGGCTCCCTAGCCATATGGAACTGTGAATCCATTAACATCTTTTTCTTTATAAATTACCCAGTCTCAGGTATTTCTTCATAGCAGTATGAAAATGAACTAATACACTCAGGATAACTTGCATTTTCTAAATAAATTCCTCAAGTAAAAATTATTCTACAAGTTCCTTATTGTGTAATATCTCTTATTTACTTGAATTATTGAGGGCAATAATCTCTGTCATGTTTGTTTGTTTTCTCTCCGATTCTTTTTTTTAAAGAGTAACAATCTGTGCTCACTTCCTCAGCACATACACTAAAATTGGAATGATATAGAGAAGATTAGCATGGCCCCTGGCAAGGATGACATGCAAATTCATGAAGCGTTCCATTTTTTTTTTTTTACTTAAAAAAAAAAAGTAACAATCACATTACCAAAAATTTAGAAAAAATTTAGAAAATCACAAAATAATCAAAGAGGTGAAAAATTAAAATAAACCATAATTCCACCAACTAGAGATAATCATTGTTAATATTCTGGTCGTATTCAACCAATCAGGAAATCACACCATATACACTATCATTAACTACTCTTTTAAATCGGATTTTTAAGATGTGAATAGACTACACTCAGGGATATAATTTATTTTATAACCCCTTGGCTCAATTTATTTTTAAGATGAAAAGTTTAAGAACCAGTATCTCTTACTTATTTCTTAGCTCCAAATTAGAGCAGAGTATAAATAAATAAATAAATGCAAACAAAAAGCCAACCACATGCTAAAACTTGAAAGGTCATAACAGCTCTATCCTTTAGCTATACAGTATAATCCTTTTCTGGTTAAATATTCCATTTAAATGTTATTCAGTTTTACATTCATTCTTTATCACGTTTTTGTTTTTCTTCTTTGTTTTTAAGATAGAGTCTTGCTATGTTGCCCAGACTGGAGTGCAGTGCTGCAATCACAGCTGACTGTAGCCTCAACCTCCTGGACTCAAGCAATCCTCCCACCTCAGCCTCCCAAGTAGCTGGGACTACAGGTGTGCACCACCATGCCCGGCTGATTTTTTTAAAACTTTTTATAGAGATGGGGGTCTTGCTGTGTTGCCCAGGATGGCCTTTAGCACATGGGCTCATATGATACTCCCACTTCAGTTTCTCAATGGGCTGGAATTACAGACATGAGCCATTGCATCTGGCCCTTTATCATGTTTTTTGTGACTATCTATTACAGGGAACTTTCCATGTGTTGAGTAGGCTGAGGTTTACATTAACTTATTGTTTTAAACAAATGATTATACAAAACAAAGATAACTTAGGTATGTGCCAGACTAGCAATCCTAGATTCATAAATTTCAATATTAGAAACACTTGAATTTTACTTTACCTTGAACAAATTTGACACAGTGACTGAAGAGAAACACTGGGCATATAGGTTAAGGCAGCATTGTAACACAACAAAAGGAATGTCAACACTTCAAACCTAAAGACAAACAAAAAGAATATTAACAAATCCCTAGAATTCTAAGGAGTCAACTATAAAAGAGGAGACGGCATTCCTTGGGGAGAGATAATAACGTTACAGGATAGATGTGCACATTATAAGCACACCAATAATGAAAAACTAAAAAGACTTTCCAAGTAACAGCCATATGAAACTTGTCTTTAAAATTCAGTGTTCCAGCTGACATCTGAAGCAAAGTACAGTGACAAATCTAGATCTGTTTTTTTCTTGTATAAAATGACTCAGTACTCAAACAAACTGTCACACACAACTCATTAAACATTATTTATAATATACTGAAATAATTTTTTTAAAAAATTAGTGTAGTAAATAAGAAGGTTTATCCCCACAGCATACCTATTCTGTGCTGTCAGCATCTCCCTTTGAGGATGAGGTCCACTGTACACAACTTTTGACAAACCGTGCTGGGATAGAGCACTCTCGGTCAGAGCCATGGACCCAATGCTGGAAGGCTAGAGAAAAGACATTTGAATAAAGAAAAAAAAAAGCTATTCTGTTGAAAATGTGATATTTAGAATATTTACACCACTAAAATAGCTACCATGAAGAACAACATGTATCTTAAACATATTTAGGCTGCCTACAAAATTTTCTGCTCAAAGATTTAATAAATAATTTAAAAACAAACCAAAAATGGGAAATAAAAATTAGTTTATTTTCAAAAATTCTGCCAAGAAATACACAGTTGCCACACACACACACATACACACACACAAAGTAGCCATCCATCAGGAGTAGTGAAAAATATTTCAAAAAGAATACTTTCAGTAGATCTCTTATTATCAGGTTTCAGTTTGATATTCAATTATTTGTTTCTAATCTCAATTTGGAAACAGTAAATACTTTGTGGGTGTTTATATTTTTGAAGGTACTAATAAATTGATCAATTTTTTTCCTAAATAACTAGACTATAACTTGTGGCAATATCAAAATTTAGGGTCAACAAACTTACTATGACAAAATGTCACTTACTTCATGATATACAGATGGTTTGGATAAAGATGGAATTGTAAAACTCAATACTTTGCTATGTCCCTGTTTGTCAACTATTTCCTATAGAAGTGAAAGAAAATAGATTAAAATACATATTTTTACTTATAAATTTACAAACTAAATTTAAATAGTCTAAAAAAATGTTTTAAAGACCTGAATAGAAAGGAATTTTAGGTTAATTAAAATCTTAAAACATGATAATCCATTACTATTCATAAACACCAGTAGTTAAACTGTATCTCCTTCCACTTAATATATGTAACATAATTTTCAGGATGGCTGAGATACAGATATAGTGTCAATAATCCTTGAATTTCCTCATGTAACAAGTTATATTTGCTATGATCATTTAAATATAAAATATGTAAAGAAAATGACCTTACATTTCTTTTGCATTTTGAAAGGTACAAAACTTAAGTATCTAGAATACCATACTAATTAATATACAAACTCTACAGTAATGCAAACTGTATGTTAAAACAATGTTGTACACTCTGGAGACAGTCTAGATTTTATTCAACTATGACTGGTGAATATTAGAGTAGATCTTTTCTCCCAAACTTTTTGTGAGGGTCAGAAAACAGATCATTTATAGGCAATGGACTTTAGTAAGTTTACAAAATTTAAAATGCAACACTGATATTTTCAGATATCTCTATAAAAGAAATAAAATGGTCTGATTTTCAACCTTCAATCAATCCATAAGTATAGTTACATAATTACATGTATGCTTGTATGTCTCCCAACCCCCAGAAAGTTGTATTTGGAAGAATGAGCTATGAGTCACTTGATGTATGAAAAAACAAACGTTAGCTTTACCAAAATGAAAAGCAGTTGCACAGGTTATATATTTGATTTGTCAGAAAAGATTTTGTTAACTGCACTAAATACAAACCAAATTATAAACCCCTAGAAGAAGAGCTTCAATGCATCCACTGCTATGCACATTTCTGCTGGCCGAGACTGCAAGATAGCACCAAATCAGTTCTGGGAGAAATTGCAGTGTAAATCGAAGCAACTGCTCCTCTCCACTGCGATAGAATTCAAACAGCTGGTGACAGACAGGTTCTAGCAACTGGAAGAAAGACAAAATGTTAATTTAAGAACTGGACTGTATTTGAATGGAACACAAAGTATAAAAAGTTTTCTCAGACTGGTAAAAATTCTTAAAATGGCTAAGTTGTGGGAGTTTCTTCCTAAAATATCCTTTCTTCCTGGTAAAATACATGTCAGTATATAAAGGATTGACTATGGGGTTGAAGAAATTGAAATGGGAATCCTGGGTAGTTACTGTCCTATCGCCCTCCTGAGTTTATAATTAGGCAGCATCTGACAGCAATGATTGGTGTGTAAGAGGGCTACATAACTACAGATGCCCCTAGATTTAGAACCCTATGACTAATTGACCCTGGATAATCTAAACATAATTTGGAGTCACCTATAACCTTTTTCTCTCCGACCACATTCTCAACATTATACAGTTAATGAGCTGACTATAACTTTATAATGGGCTTTAAAAAATAAGACAGGCAAGGTAAGACCCTCTTATAATGATCACACGCAGTCATAATCAAATATGTTAAGAGATTCACAAGGTACTGTTCACAAGGTACTGATTTTTCAAGCAAATTATCAGGCTATTTATTATATATATCCAATGAACTATACTTCACTAAGGCAATAAATTTAAATAAATTTACTAAACAGCTTTTCTACTACCAATAATGGTAATGAATAGAAACTAATTTACAGTGAATGTTTTGATTTCAAGTAAGTGAAATATGTAAACTGAACATAATTTAAAGACAATATTGTTTATAAAAGGTATAACAAAAAGTTATGCTTCAATAAACATTGACTAAGTCAAACTAACTAGTCTTTCCTATTGAAAAATTACCTAACTCTGACAGTTAATCTTCTAAAAGGAATCCTTTTTCCATTCTTGAATGGTCTTTAGAGCGCAAGAGATGTCCAACGAGGTCATGAAAGGACAACAGAAAAACAGGGGCAAGAGGCAAAGTCATCCCATTCATAGACAGCAAAATAAGTTTTTAGTGTAGGAATTTGGAAGAATGGGGTTAGAGGTAGCTGGAAGAAAGAAAGATTGGTCAGGGTTGTTTAGCTTTCAGGGTGGAGTTCTTAAAATTTTCTTTGTGGACCTGCATCAATAATCTTGAATTGTGGCATAACATCCCTCATCTCTAAATTCCTCAGAAAGCTAAATCAAGATGGTTTATTGCAAAATTATGAAATCTTATTTGGAAATTTATTTAAGACAATTTGTATGAACATATAATTTTAATGAAAACATACTCAAAAGGCTTTGTAACCCATTTAAAATCCAAAATTTAGAGTTTTTGCCATAAGAAAGTACAACTTAATGAAGACAGATTCAAAGGGGAGGTAGAAATATATTGCAACAAGATTAGATGAAATTATGCATGTGAAATTAATACAGATAAATATCAGTATCTGCGTAGTGCATCACAGACTGCAAAGTACTTTCACATAGATAAATCCATTAAATTCCCACAACACTGTAAGGTAAAATATCATTATCCACACTTTCCACAGAAGGAAACTGAGACAAAAAAGCTATCCACTATGACCAAAATCACATGGCTCACAAAGGTCACACCTGGAGCCAGGTATTTTGACTTCTTTACTAACATACCTGAAAAGTGTCAGGAAAGAACAAAATGATATAAACTGTGGGAAACATGGACAGTGTTTGACATACCTAACTTGACTATATTTGAAGCAAGCAAAGGAGCATTAGAACCTGCTGTGTTCCTAGTGTCTGGGCTGCATTTTTCAGTGTATTTTTTCCTCATAGAAACCATGTCATTTATGGTAGTTAGGTCTTACAGTACTATTAAGAGAGAGACTGGGCCGGGCGCAGTGGCTCAAGCCTGTAATCCCAGCACTTTGGGAGGCCGAGGCAGGTGGTTCACAAGGTCAAGAGATCGAGGCCATCCTGGTCAACATGGTGAAACCCCGTCTCTACTAAAAATACAAAAAATTAGCTGGGCATGGTGGCGCATGCCTGTAATCCCAGCTACTCAGGAGGCTGAGGCAGGAGAATTGCCTGAACCCAGGAGGCGGAGGTTGCGGTGAGCCCAGATCGCGCCATTGCACTCCAGCCTGGGTAACAAGAGCGAAACTCCGTCTCAACAACAACAAAAAAAAAAAAAAAAAAAAGAGAGACTGTACCTCAAGTATATTTCCATGTGTTAAATAGACTTTTATATGTTTAATGAGAACTTAGTCATCATGTGTCATCTCTCCATTGCAAAATATATTCTGAGTCCTAAACAACTTAGCTGCAAATGGATTTTTACAACAATCCATTCATAAGTAAGAAGTCTGTAACCTAAGAAAGATTTCTAGTGGTAATAGGCATATGACTCAAAAATGCTCTTTAGTGACTAAGTAAGGAAAACGTTCTTTAATGACTAAGCAGGAAAAGAGTCAAGTTTGGGTAAACTGAGAAGGAAAATCTTACAAGATTTTTTGTATTGAACAATTACTGAGGAACATCGGTAGGAAAAGGATACGGAAAAGCTGGAAAACACTACTATTCAGGAACCAGCAGCTCCTGGTACCTGATCTCTCCCCTCTCTGGACTCCCGACTCCCAGAACTCCAAGGAGACTTTATGTGGGTCTTTCAAAAAACAGCTGATTTTATAACACACTTAAGCAGTATTAACCTCTACTCTTGTGCCTGCTTCAAAGCTATAGTCAACTAAAAGCACCATTTAAGCCAACTGCACTGTACCCATATAAACTGCCTCTTTATAAGTTTCTTGAACATATCACATATATCTATTACAGGGCCTTTCCACCTACAGTTCCCTCTCCTGGAAGGCTCTTGCCCCTGATTCCACCTCAACCCCTAATTCATTTGGATCTTGATTCAATCACCAATTTCCTCAGTCCCAACACATATTTCCCTTACTTCGTTTTATTTGTCCTTATAGCTTTATCACTGACATAGTATTATATGTTTAGATATTTGTTTAATGTCTATCTCACCAACTAGAAAACAACTTTTAATCTACAACATCAAGAATTTAGTCTATTTTGTTCTCATAATTCCTAAGTGGTTCCTAACACATTATATGTGTTTAATAAATATTTATTAAATGAATAAAACTGAATAATGAAAAAGTATTACCAGTAAAGTTTAAATGCCAAATTTGCTGAACTTCAAATAATACCAAAAACAATGTCTCAAATTTCTAAAATTCTGGAAAACAATAATATCAACTTGTTAGGAATATTTTCACATTAAGACACAAAATATTCTAAACAGCAAAAAGCTGGTTACAATGTTAAAATAGATTACACTGTCATATTTTAGAAGCCCTTCCAAATATATTTGAAAGAGTGAGTGGTTTAAGAATGCAGAATACACACTGTCTTCTCCACATGAATCAGAATAAAAGCATGAAACAAACTAACATGCAAGACCAAACCAGTGCTTCTGAAAGTGTGGTCTGAGGATAATTCACAAACTGTTACCAGTCTTCAACAATATAAATATAGAAATTGAGAGGAAACATTTAGAAAATTTTATAGCACTTAAAGTGCAATAAAATATATATTTAAAAAAAATTTTTGGCCAGGTGTGGTGGCCCACACCTGTAATCCAAGCACTTTGGAGGCCAAGGCGGGTGGATCACCTGAGGTCAGGAGTTCAAGACCAGCCTGACCAACATGGTGAAACCCCATCTTTACAAAAAAAAAAAAAAAAAAAAAAAATTTCAAGCACTTAATATTGTTGCAACATCCAAGTGAGTGATCAGCAGATAGATTTATCAAAGTATATATCAGTTAGGAAATATCAAATTTGTATGGTGCCTCACACGTGGTGTGAGTTGCATGTTAGTCATGCACTTTAGATACACATATTTGTCTGTGACAGATGATAATTTTTTTCAAAAACTGGTCCATCATCACTAGTAATTTGAGAAATATTGTACTGAACCATTAGAGCTATATTCACTAGAGCTATCTGAATAAAAGAATTGCTATAAACTAATCTAGCCAGTCAAAAATTTATCCTACAAACACTTTCCAAAGTAGCCTAATTAAAACATACTTCATCAGAGAAATAATTTTTAATCCTCTCAAAATAATAAATAATAAATGACCAACAAGATCTAATTTGTTAAAAAACATAAAGCACATGGCTATACTTATCCTATTTGGTGAAATAATTCTAAACTAAACAAGGAAAACAGCTTTTACCCAAATATTTAAAAAGTAAAACCGTTCAAGAAAACAGCCTACCTGTGCATTTCATACAAATTAAGAAGCTTTGGGGAGAGGGGAGAGATAAGACAAGTATGATTGTTCAATTCAGTTATTCCAGTTAAAGTTTGTTGGCTTGTCAATATACTCCCTAATCCCTTCATCACCTAAAATTCATGATATACACTATAGCATAACCAGTAGGAGTGGGCTATTCTACACCCTTGCCAAAAGTGGTTTAACTACTCAAATAGAAGAAGATTCTCCCTCATTTTGGTAGTTTCATCCCAGAGATACACAGATCCATGTTGGACTGGACTCCAAGGTATGTTACTTTACCACTAAATGTGCTGTTAGAGTCTATCACGCCATCCATCAAACTCAAGTACAAAAGGAATTACGTACTTCAGATCCCTCTCTTCTTTCATATCTCTTTCCATTTCCCCTGACACTGCACATGTTCAGGTTCTCAACAGCTCCCTCCTAGGCTATTGTCATAGCTTCCTAGTCTTCTTGCATTCCATTTTTTCATTTGTCAATCTCACCTCCTTGTAGCCACCTTCCTAATCCCTCAATACAAAAACAGTTTAAGCTACTTAAGGTGGGATTTGAGGCCCACCATGGTTACGTCCTAAACCTAGCCTTCTAGCTTCAGCACCTATCACAGCCTTACTCTCTTCTGTTAACTACTGCATTAGCCTATTCACTTTTTTCCAAATGCCATACCTTTTTATTTTTCATCGTATTTCCAATTTTGTTTTAGTATTTCCAAAACAAAATTGGAAATATGATGAAAAATAAAATAGTATTTCTTCTGTTAAATAATCTATACTATAAAACAATCTATACTCCAGATTCTCGTGCTTGTAAATCCTACCATTTACAGTATTTCTATTAATAGTAGAAATATTATTTATAGATTATTTATTTGATAGTATTTTTAGTATTATAGTATTTTAGTATTTAGTATTATAGCATAGTATTTTAGTATTTAGTATTTAGTATTTTTGTATTTAGTATCACAGTATTTATGGTATTTTTAGTATTTATAGATTATTTATTTTACAGTAAATAATCTATACTCTAGATTCTAGTGCTTGTAAATCCTACCAGAAATACTATTAATGGTAGGATTTATAAGCACCAGAATCTGGAGTATAGATTATTTTACTATCTTCAAACTAAATGGGCAGTGGGGCACAGTGCCTCATGCCTGTAATCCTAATACTTTGGGAAGCTGAGATGGGTGGATCGCTTGAGCCCAGGAGTTTGAGAACAGTCTGGGCAACATGGCAAAATCCCATAGTCTTTACCAAAAATACAAAAAATAGCCAGGTGTGATGGCGCATGACCAAAGTCCCAGCTACTGGAGGGACTGCAGTGGGGGGATCGCTTGAACTCAGGAGGTCAAGACTGCAGTGAGCCATGATCACACCACTGCGCTCCAGCCTGGGCAACAAAGTGAGACCCTGTCTTAAAAAAAATAAATATAGGGCCAGGCGCAGTGGCTCACGCCTGTAATCCCAGCACTTTGGGAGGCTGAGGCGGGTGGATCACGAGGTCAAGAGATCGAGACCATCCTGGTCAACATGGTGAAACCCCGTCTCTACTAAAAATACAAAAAATTAGCTGGGCATGGTGGCGCGTGCCTGTAATCCCAGCTACTCAGGAGGCTGAGGCAGGAGAATTGCCTGAACCCAGGAGACGGAGGTTGCGGTGAGCCGAGATCACGCCATTGCACTCCAGCCTGGGCAACAAGAGCGAAACTCCGTCTC